TATATATATATATATATATATATACATATTATATATAGATACATATGCAAACATGTATATATATATACATACATACATAATATATATATATATATTTATATATATATAAATTGCAAATATACAAAATAAACATACAGATATGCTAACGTACTTACATATATTAACATTGAAACCGGCTGATGTCATTTATAATCACGTTGATTGATGCTGCAGAAATTTGGATAGAAGTAGCAATCAATACGACGCACGATAACATACCTGCAGAGAAGCTTTCACTTGAGTCGCATGTTGTCTCAGTGGCAATGTTCGTTGAACAGCGATTGTTCTACCATATACAGCTAGCATGGTGTCTAATGGTTTTTGTTTCCAAAGTTATGAATGGCTGAGGTACGTCTGAATGCGCAGTACACTATTCAGTCTTCAATTCTTCGAGTGTAAATGGTTCATACATATTTTAAATCGTACACAAAGTATTTTTATTATCGTATTCAAGAGCGAAGGAACAGGTTATTAATCTTTTGTATATACGTAATCAGCTTTTTTCTTTCCAGAAAAGGGGTTGGGTTCCTCCTCATTCTAGGGTTTGCAAGCTGGGGAGTTTATTTAGGGTTCAAGTTCAGGAACGATATAGTATTTGTTCCTCTAGTATTTAGTGAGTGTTTTTTTTAACACGAAAAACAAAGATACTATGAGTCTCTAACGAATGTGGTTTGTAAACTCAAGACAGTTCATAAAAGTCACAATAATCTCGGAATAAATTTGTAATCGCTTACCGAGACGGTTTCGCAGCGATTTGGTTAAGCAAAAGTCGCTTGCGCAATCCTGGCCATCAAGTTAGATCTGTGCATGATTACACTGCTTCCCTACTAAAACCCTAATCGTCGGATTGCATAAAAAAAAGAAGCCCTAAAGTTCCAGTCAATGTGAGTTTGTCAAATGTTCGATTATTGATGTCTCTTTATTGGACACTTATAGCGAACCGTTTCCTCTGTCAACTGCTACACAACCAGACAGATTGTTTTAGACAGCTATTAAGATAAAAAATCTGATCTATACAACTCACGGTCGTCAATACATATGAGTAAGTTTTTGTACCGTTCGGATTGGAGACGATATTATTGAGGGATGTTAGCATAGCCTTCTAAAATACAGAAGGCTATGATATTAACCGCAAAAAAATAGAAATTGAACGCAATCTTTATTGTTAAATATGATCCGATGATCACTTCAACGAAATGCTGCGGCTCCAGTGTAAATACTCTCCTCCACTGCTGGGCGTCCCTCGTATTCAGGCTGATCTATGTGAACCATTACTAAGCCGACATAAAGTGTCATGACATGCTATATATGCGAGGAATCATGTTATTGGTTCCTGGACTTAGCCAGAACTTGATATGGAGCCAAATTATACGCACTGAGATCTGTTGGTCCAGAGGATCATGTATCCGACAAAAAGGCAACAACGTGTGTATCGCTACGGACACAAACTCGTTCGCCTGGCATGTGTTTGAAGCAGAGCTTTCCCACAGATGGCAAAGCCATTAGCCAAGCATCAACTCCCTTGTCTCTACAGTGTAAGTCTCACGCGAACATAAATTATGCCCTATCTCATATCGTGTTTCTCCTCGCGAGCTCTACGAGTAGCCACACTTCAGCCTAAGACCGACTCAGCTCCCACGACTGACTTATTGATGAATTCAGTGTAATGAGTACCAGCTTATTTGACAGAGATCTGGGCATGGAAACCGGACACTACTTCGAGCCGGACGGCTACACAAGTTCACGGGCGCCTAGATGTGTACTAGAATATACGCATGGTGCGTCCGTTTGTGTTGATTTGTCTACATATATACCTATAGGTGATTGAACTCATCATCTCTATGGAATCACACTACGATCAAAATAGGAACTGTACTCGCTACCCTTCTTGATACATATTCAATATATCGAAAGTAGAGATTGGGCACGGCTACTCTATTCAACATAGTGTAGTACCAAAAGGAAATTAGACTCATCATCTCTAGTGGTACCCCAAACATGCATATATCACTTATAATCGGAGGTGCCGCAAAACAACCAAACCAGTTGCTATGGTAGCATTCGACCACTTCATCTCATTGAACAACGCACCCCAATCCTGCCGACCTGTAATAAGCGCCATAAACGGCATATTCGAAGTAATGGCTTCTTTTTCGGGTGATAGCTCACCTCCAGAACCACGTCTGTATCTGTAGTCTTGATGTTCGGTACCAATAATCGCAAACAAGCCGAATCCCAAGTAGAAACACGCCTCGGCAATGAAAGGGGTTAATAATGCAGACCCACTTGTAAGCATAGCCAGAGCCCAGAGGCTAGGGTGTCGACTGATTCGTTCCATGCCCCCTACTTGTCCCGCTGGCACATCTGCTGGTTTGAAGTCCATGGGGCACTTTGCTTTGAATCGCAAAGGTTTCGTCGCTTGTGCTGCGGCAACAACACTGTGCGTGGGTGATACAGCTGTGAGCTGAGCCGTGTTTGTGAAGGCTAATTGCGGATTGGATTGATAGTCACTATTAACAATCTCACTGCTTTGTTGAGTAGGTGTTCTCAAATCTGAACCTGCATCGGAAGCCAGCCCGATAGGCATCTGTAGCTTAGGTGCCATTTGAGACAACCCCACCAGTCCCAGCGCATGCAATGTGAAGGCCCCTGCACGCATAGCTCTCATACGAGGGCTACCACTGTTTGCATTGATCATTGAAGGCCATGTAGGCCCCTTGTTCTTGTACTTCAGGAATCCATAGCCTATACTTGCACATGCGGTGGTGCTGAGCGTGTTATACGCATAATGGTAGTTCTTCTCGGTGTAATTATTTATGATGTATTCGCGGTTGTGCGACATGACAAGGTTTTCAGTGATGAAGAATGTCCACCCATAGAAAATGTACTTCACTCCGGGGTGTTTAAGTGCACTTAATGCTGCTGCAGACATGGTGCTCAATTATCACGGTACTTCGAAAATACACTATGTGCGTAGGTGTGAACTGTTTTTTTCTCTTGAGGATAATAGTGTTGTATGTATGTATACTTGATCGATCCAGTATGTAGAAATGATCAACGAATATTGATCAGCAAATGATGTATAGACTGTAGAGTGCGTAGACCACATATTGCGCGTCCTGTCCCCCAACCAGACTGTCCTTCTCGTCCAAATAAATATTGAGAAAAAAATTTACAACGTTGTTTTCATCCCATTATTGACTAAATCATATTCTCAATCCCAGGGCCCAGGCCCCAGCGGACAGCTGGACTATAGTCTATAGATCTCCGTGACTCCGTGACTCGGTTGATTTTGGAGTGGGCCCATAAACCAGGTTTTTCTTTGGCACTGCCATAAACTATAGCCTGTGGCCGACCTGGGGGCTGGGGCTAGGGGGTGGCTGAGGCTCTGCGCCCTGGCCCCTGGCCCTGGCCCTGGGCCCACTGGGCCCACTGGGGTCTGGGGCTGAAGGCTTTGCCGGGGAGTCTGTGTCACTGTGACTTCCGAGTTTCGACGACAGACAACCTCACAAGACAGAGTCACAGCGGCCCCCTGCACGTAAATTTTTACATTTACTGAGAAAGGCAGTTCATACTTCATAGCCTTCTCGTAACCCTTTAGGAGCCTGTGTGCAGTGGTTCTATATTTATATACATATAAATGTGTAGTAGTAAATAGCACTCATCTTAGTCACCATTGTATTGTTTACCAACCGAACTTATAGTATAATATTATAAACACATCTAGATATACACAGTTATACATATCATATATACAATTAGGTGTACTAGTCTTGGACGTTGGGCATCAATAATATGGGACGTGACAGAGAAAGGAGGCGATCACGAAGTCGCAGCAGAAGCAAAGACCGTCGCAGCGGAAGGTCAGACGCCGACAAGAAACGGGGCCGAGAAAGAGATTCTCAAAGTTCACGAAATAGGTTTGTATGATAGAACGTGCAATACATATTTTGATCTATTCCAAGACAAATATTTGGTTCTTTCATAGTGTTTCCACTGGTATTTCAATTTGCCGGTCTGGATATTTTTATACATCCATATATATCACTTTATACTATACATGCGTTTAACTTGGGCATATATTCTGTAACATAGCTATATTCTCGTGTGTATTTCTGTATAAATACACAAATTTCTAACGGAATCTATAAATGTATAATATATATATATACATATATATATATATATATATATATATATATATATATTACACACAAATTTCTGACATAACACTATACACACACATACTTTATATATATATATTTATATATATATGCTATTGTAAAACAATTTGTGACTTAACTCTGCACACTCACATATATATGTTTGTATATATATATATCTATATTCTGACTTAACTCTGCACACACACACATATATATATATATATATATATATATATATATATATATATATATATGTATATATATATATGTATATATGTATATATACATGTAAGAACCCTCTCAGGGGTTCGACGATGAAACTTGCTGTCAATGACATTCCCCATTGTACATATATTTACATATATATATGTGTTTTGTGAGTGTATATGTGTGCGTGTATGCGGTGTGCGTGTATGTTATTGTGCGTATATATATATATATATTATGTGTGTGTGTGTATCTGTATATATATATATATAGTATATATGGATCTGGTGGCTGATAGGATTTTTTAGCTGCGCTACGTCTCTGTTGCCGCATTCAAGTGGACTGCATATACGAAAGTAACTGAGCGTCTCGTTATGATTGTTAGTATATACACAGTGTGATACCAGAGTTGATTTTTTAATCCTGTGCTCATATGCTCTGCCATCTCTTTCATCCCCAGACGCTCATCACCTGCTAAAAGGAGGCGGAGCAGATCCAGAACATTATCACCAGACTCCTTACGGCGACAAGAAGATAGCGTTTTACGGAAAAAACTGTATGTGTGCTGTGCCTGTCGTGTATATAAGTCTGTTCTCAACGGATCAATTTGACCCTGTTTTGCGATCTACAAGTGCCAGTTGTATCAACAGTAGTTAAAAATAAGGAGTTGGTCTTTCTAGTTTCTGACAACGCCTACGATGCTTCAAATGCACATATGGTAATTTTTGAATGTAGTAGTAAATAGGTAACTGTAATTATTAAAAAATGAGGGTGGAACCTTAGCGGTTATAGCCATCTCGTTGGTTATCGATCTAAATGTGCGATGTTCTTTCACGTCAGTGTGCCATAAGCTATTGCTAACAGGGTAGTGCGTGTATATTGCCTTGTATGCATGTAATAGGTTTTTAGTTCTATGAGTGCAAAAAAAGGGCAAAATCATTAATTTTTACATTCAATTGGATTCGACACAGTTATACATGGGTTGCTGGGGATATTATTGATATTTGTGTCAATTATATAGCTATCAAGACGCCAGTGGAAACGAATCTTACTTCGCACATGCGCAATATGTCGTACCCACGTCACGTAGTCACGTTCGCATCCTGTGGCGTCTGCACTCATGTTCCGCTCAGTGTGTGGGCTGTGTACTGTACTGTACAGTCATTCTGTATGTCATCATCCTATTACCAACCCCTGGTTCAATACGTCTTCAACGATATTTCGGTTCTATCTTTCTCAGGGTGGAGGCGCGGTTGATCGAAGTAGAGACAAGGAAACGCATAGATGACATCGTAAATAAAAGGGTGGAAGAAGAAATAGAGCGAAGAAAGGCTGACATCGAGCTTGGTATGTACTACTTGTGTGGCATGGCTCGTAAATAACTCGGGGTATCATGAATATAGCTAGATTTTCTAGTGAGATTTATGAGGTATATGACGAATGAGATGATTCAGGTGTATTATTGAACCGAGTTAAGAGTCGTGATTCTCCATAGGAGCAAGTATTCGATCGGCTTTTTTACGAGTTGTACTTGATGTTACACGTAGTTTTAATTATATATTTTTCTGTGTCTGGCGATAGGGTTATTTTATAGATATTAAAAAATAATGTCTGGTTGATGTTCGTAGCTCAATTGTCAAAAAAATTATGTACTGCGGCCAGGTACGCCCTTACGAACATATGTGCATGCATTTAGCAACCCGTGATTGCTTATATTGGTCCTCATAGCGAGCCTCTATCTATAATATTATGATTAGAGGTGCAGTTCAGGTGATGGAATATATCCAACGGTTGCGTCTGCACGAACTGTTGTCGTGGCATCCACAAACTTAACGAAATTGTCACTTGTTACGCATCTCTAGAGGTCAATCGCCGTATCGAGGCCATGAGGAAAGAGATGGAGAGCAAACTGTTGAAAGAATTGGCCATCGAGCGAGAAAATATGAAAATCGCGGCTAAAAAGAAAGAGGTTTGTCTGTCTGCACACTATTCAATCGCGCTATCACCCATGACATATCTATATCAATATTCTTGATGTATTGTAAGCTTTTGGGTGATGGGTGGCAAATATGGGCTCTAATTGTGTAGTATTAAAGGGCTGTAACTATGGAGGCCCGAAATCTCGAGCTGGAAACCGGAAAGGTTTCTCGTTTGAAGTGTTGCTTTTTGAGTGTGGTGTTCAGTGCCTCTATTCGCATCCCAGCAGGCTGTCCCCTGTGCTTGCCCAGTTTGTATTGTAATTGTCTGAAGGTCGCCATACTGTTGATATGTCCAATTTTCTGTAGTTGTCATGTCATCCGTTTGAATTCTACGCCTGGGTTCACTAGTAAGTGCTGCAATGATATAAATTTGCAGACCATTTTCTGAGACATTATCAACTGTGACTTCGAACCATTTGAACTGGTCTGATGCCACATGCATGACTGTGCATATTAAATTTACTGGAATCTCGTAAAGTGCTAAAGTATTGATTTATTCGCAGGAGGAAGAGCTGGAAAAGCAAGCCAGTCTGGAAGCAATCATTGAAGAGAACAACAAACGCCTGGAAATGCTGAACAAGAAAAAAGAAGTATGTATATGTGTGTGCGTTGAGAAGGACGGAAGCTATCGTGTAGTTAACAGGCATTTACAGATGGGCACACTCGCACACCCCTGCTGAACCCAAGCATATCAATGGCTGATTATATCCCGTGTACGAAATGTCACCTTTTACCAATATCATCACGACACACTCGCTATGGACATGTTGACATGTAAACATGTCACGGTCATAAACAATGATGACATGCCAAAATGCGGCGAACATCGTTGCGCGTTGGGACCTCGAGATGTAGACTCGCAGTATCGCGCGCCAAGATTGAAGCGCTGCCGCCGAAGCCACGGTTCAGTTAATGTGTACAATCGACCGCGCAGGTCTGCAGTTACTTCTTCGTATATGCTTGAGTGATCCGTATGTTTTATGTCCATAGTACGTATGCGTAGGCGTGTATTTGCTGGCGTGTGTGCATACAATGATATATATGAAGCTGTCTTTGATCTAAACTAAGAATCGTAATGGAGACAGCAAGTTCCGTTGTTGCCGAGTTGTCCACCAGTCATCAAGTTGGCCACTCCTATCTCAAGGCAGTACAATTGACGCCGCTGATTCGCTATGGTAAACTTTGGTTTTTCGCATGTTCAGACACATGTTCCAGGTTTGTAAATTGTACTCTCTGGCACATCTCCACGTGTACGTGTGTCAGTGTGCTGAATAGCTCATGTGGCAGAACTGAGAATGTCCTTAGAGCGTGTTTTTCGATGTTGTGTACGTACGAAAAGCAATACCTTTTTATTTCCAGGGATAGTCAGGGAACGATTAAGACACCAATAACACACAATGTATCTCCAAAGAATCTATGAGACATCGTATCAGGTGTATCTCCAAATACATGTGTGTTCAACTCTATCTACCTTCCTCCTTCACATACGCACTATGTGCCGCACCCATGCCCACCCTCACCCAACAAACAAAGGACGAGCAACGATTGGAAGAAATTGCTAAGAAACAAAAGCTCAGAGAGGCGGAACGCGCTGAGGCTAAAAGTGAGGAGGAAAAGAAACGCCAAGAACAAGCTAAGGTTCTGGGGGTTGGGGGTGCGCGCCCGAAAGTGTCGTTTGGCCTGAAGATGGGCGGGTGCAGCACGAATCCCTTCAGGTGACAATACATTGATCCATCTGAAGTCTAAGTTGACGCCGACTCTGCCAATAAAAACTTGGTAGTACCATTGTGGTCTGTCTTATAGCCTTCTGAATTGAACAGAAGGCTATATCTGTCTCCTCGTTAATACGCGTGCAGAAGTACTTTCATTGGAGACTTACGCTGTGCATTCTCGTAACCATCATCTGCTTTGTACTGGCAGCATATGCTCAGTATAGATCAGTATGGTTCTTGTTGGCTTCGCAACTCTGGCCTGTACCGAAATATAGCCGAATATGGTGCACGCGTTGTATTATTTGAGTTATTTCGGTTTTACTGGATGAGCAGCAGCGTAAGTGTATAATCGGACATATCAGTGCGTATGGTTGTAATCTACCTGAATTTGGATCTATCGCCTTCGCCTGAGCAAATTCTATGCTCAGAAGGATAACCCTGCGGTGAACAAGACAGAACATGTACCCTTGCATGTCGCATAGAATCGGGAGTATGAATTGTTATTGTGCATCCCCCGCAATGCGTTGAGCAACTCTGTCTCATTAGAAAACTTTCCTGGGGATTATGCAACATGGTGACTTTCTAGTCTTTATAACCGTGACTGCATTGAGCACACCAAGAAACCACTAAGTTATCGCTTTACCTTTATGTTGGTTCGCATTCAAGTATTTGTTTACACGCAGTTATGAATACGCTCCGGATGTCATTCCCTGCGATGCGTGTGGCTTGCGGCGACTGTATCTTTGCATGTTAAGTAATATGTTAGAATCTGTTAATGATACTTCGCTCTAGTCAAAGTCTCACCTTCTAGTATAGTAGGTTTTAGCCGGAAGAGGAGGCATATCATTCGCCAGAATGCAAAAAGGTATTTCAAATATATATTTCGGTTGGACAATTTGGTGTCGATCGCGGAAGAATGATTCCTGCCTGGGCACTAGTTTACAAGCACAAGCACATTGTTAGAGGATCTCCAACCTGTGTCGTCTAGATCGAACACATACTAAACCACGCTGTCTGTTTGCACCCTGCTCGTTGGGTGTACGATTATGAAGGACATCCCGGATGTTAAAAGTGCGACATGATTCAGAGAGACCACTCGCATACCTGTAAAGAGTAAATACTGTACAAGTTTTGCGAAATATTTACACTCTTGTCATACGGACTTGTCCGCTCTCCTTTAAATTTTAAACTTCATTCTCTCTCTCTCTCTCTTATTTTAGAGTTATTTAGAGAGTGAGAGTGAGAGTGAGAGTGAGATATCTCTTGTGGAAATTGTTTTGTTTTTTATTTAACAAAATATTTATCTAAATATTTCCCTTTTTTATTAAAACAAAACAATATGTAAAAACAAATTTCCGGCTTTTTGTTATAAAAAATATAAAACGGCTGCGACACAGCGACAGACAGCGAGTGACACTGTGACCACGTGCTGGTTTGATTTTCACAAGTCTTCAAAAAATAGATCTGTTGTCGGAATAAATATCGTTGAAAACGCCGTAGTTTTCCCAATCCGATTGGGAAAGGGAGAATGAGCAGTTTCGTTTGGAAATCCTCAGTCGAAATACACGTAGTGCTGATCTCTCTAGAGAGAATCTAGATCTCCGAAATCAAAGATATAATACTTAAATAGCTTGTCGCGTGTCGTGTCCGCGTTTGACTAAATCTAAACTCTCCGTTAGCTGTAGTGAAAAATCGAGGTTCAAATATAGCTGTACAGTTCTATCACAAACATATAACCCTTGTCTTCTGGTTGTCGTGAATATAAAGCCAACGACTTGTTACTATTATATATCTTTAACCCGCATACTGCTAATCGAAACATCTTTTACACCATGGACGCAGATTCATTCTACTCCGCCAACACACCTTCAGAGAGCATAACTATCGATTTGCCGTACTTGAGCACTCGTAACGAGGCCTTCAAATCCGATGCAGATACGTCCACACACGCCACTGGCAGTGAAATGACGCTGGACGACATCCGCTACACTGTGCGCGTGGGTAACGCTGAAAAGACTATTTTGCGCAATCTGAGCCCTATTATTCCTGCCGGATCCCTGACAGCCCTAATGGGGTCTACAGTCGGTGGTAAGTCGACCCTGCTTGATACCCTCGCAGGTAGAAAGGATCCGAAAGACATATCCGGTCGCATCTTGGTCGACGGAAGTCCGAGACATAAAAAAAATTCAAGTTTCAATGTGGATATGTTCAGCAGGATGTCATAGTATCTGGGTCTCTTACTGTTAGAGAAAATCTGCTGTTTTCCGTACGACTGCGCCTTTCCAACGAGATGGTGGACGTAGAAAAGCATCTCAGGGTCGACACGGTCATTGCAGAGTTTGGCTTGTCCAAGGTGGCTAATAGGTATGCGGAACGAAACATTGAATTCTGCATCCCCAATCGTAGCAGGCGGCGATGTCACATGCAGAAGTTGTCGTTGCACACAGCCCAAGAACCCTGAAACATCAGATGCCAATAAAAGTCTGGCGGAAAAGTTTCTAGAAAGTGAACCCTATCTGGAAACACTGGAAATGGTCAAGAAAAGGACACAGCCAACGACGGTTCACTGTGATGCAGATATCAGCGCATCTGCCGATGACTCCTTGACCATTACGTATCCCATTGGGTACTTCCAGCAGACCTGCATAATTGTGGCCAGAAACATACGCAATTCGATTCGAAACCCAGCTGCGGCGCTCATGCAAACTGTTGGTGAACATCGTGTTTGGGCTACTCGCGGGCATGTTGTATTTCCAGGTTTGTAGTTACCATGAGTCTAAAACAGTGACGTCGGCACAGCACTCGCGGCAACATTTTTGTATAACGTATTGTGTGCCGATGGTGACTTTACTATGATGCAGAATTCATCCCTTTGAAGATATCGAGCCAGGAGTTTCTCATTTAATAGGCTACATGTTCGTCCATCACATGTGGGAAATGGCGTAGACGGCCTGCAGAACCGCACTGGAGCTTTGTATTTCGCTTTGATGGGTGCTGTATTCGGCAATCTGTCTGCTGTCGAACTATTCTTATCGGAAAGAGCTATATTTGTAAATGAAAAGAGGTAAGGATTCTATTGTTTTTTACTTCTTCTTTCTGCGGTACAATGTTTTTGACAGTCTAATTCATATAATATTACAGCAAATTTGCAGGTGGTACATTCCACGCAACAGGCATTTTCACATCGTTTGCGAGACTTCGACAGCTATTTTCAGCAATCACAAGCACATCTACGCGTTTCTAACCAGTTTGATTTATGTGCACAGGAGGGCTTATTATTGCACAGAAGCATACTTCACGGCAAAGGTGGTGGTCGATCTCTTGCTGGGCCGCCTTATCCCCACACTGTTCTACAGTGTGATATCATTCACAATAATTGGACTAAGCGGCGGATTTACAGAGTTCCTTGTGTACCTCATGATGCTGGAGTTGAGTGCGATGACAGCTGTGGGCATATGCTTCCTCGTATCGTCTCTCGTCGATGTCTTCGCCGTTGCCAATGTACTCACAACGATGGTGTACGCTGTGATGCTTGTCTTTGTCGGCCTTTTTATGAATCTCGATACTATGGCCAAGTGGTTCAGCTGGATACAGTATGTATCCCTCTTTCGTTACGGATACGAGGCTCTTGCAGCAAATGAACTCGCAGGCATGGTGTTCGACTGTAGCGCAGACGTTCCCTGCCAGTCCGGAGATCAGTATCTAGCCACTCAAGGATTCGAGGACAGACTGTGGTTCGATGTGGGCATGCTTACCTTGTTTTAGTTCATATTTATGTTCTTGTGTCAGATCCGACTGCGATGTATACACTAATGCATAGAATAACCCACACTCGAACAAAAACAAAAACCTGTGGAAGCTGCCCATTCGCCAGCTTCAAAGTGGTGCCGAGATACTACTCAATCGCCGCTAGAAGCCTCCAAGTGCTAGTACAATTTAGAACATCATTTTTAAGGTACTCAGATAATAATGGCTGGAACATACTACCGTTGGAATAAAGTTCTATCCGGCAACTGATTGTATACTAGGTAGTGCTTTGGAAATTGAAAACGCTATCATTTTATAAATGAGCGTCGAAGGAAGATCAGTGTATGAGTGGTATTGCATATTGCATCATAACGCAACTCCGAAACGTTACAACAAATCATAAGCGGCGGGCTGGTCTTCCGGATACACTTTTGTTCGAGGTTATTATAGCTCACTGGTAGCCTCGAAATTAAATGAATTGGAACTGTCGAGCAGCTCAATGGTTCTGAGATTACATTTTGCCATATTTCTAGCTGATTTATATACTAGACAATCATGTTGCGCGTTATGCCGACAAAGTACGTCTGATGGTGAGCTGTATTATTATATAGATACATTCAATACCTATGACGATGGCAAGTATGAAACTCTGGATAGATGCCAACCTTGAACCCTAGATATTCGAGTGAAATAATTAAATCACTGTGAAAGTGATGACTGATGACAAAATCATAAAAAAGGTTACAGCAGCTTCGTGCACGTGCGTTATCCATACATAACAGTATAATACCCACTTAAAAAGTATATACCGGCTGGTGAGTATATGCATTGAATAGACTTCCCTTTTTAAGAAGGTCAGAGAAGCCTTCCCCTGTTCAATAATCAAATACGTATATTGGCTTGTGTGGTATCTATTTAGTATAAACAAGATGCCTAAAGGTAAGAAATTCAATGAGGAAAGGGGCAATGGAAGCAGTAAATCGGTAAAAGCCCGCATCCGCGACATCAGGCGTCTGTTAAAACGAGATGACCTCGTTGCCACTGTCAGGGTAGAAAAAGAACGTATGCTGGAGATGTTAGAAAGCGATCTGAAAGAGAAACAGAATCAGGAATTGGAGAAGAAACTCACAGAAAAATACAAAATGGTCAAGTTCTTTGGTATGTTCATTTTGCATCAACGTGTTTATGTGGTGCAATACCCTGCTAACGGGTTTGTTGATGGTATGGTGCGTACTCTTAGCAATATGTATTGTATACAGAAGCGACCGTTTCGTATAATTTGCATGTTGTGTACAAAATCGACCGATTGCCTCTACGCATTAACGGTTTCGGACACAACTTAATATAGCCAGATATGTTGTAAACACTTTATTGTGTATAACTACACGTATAAGACTCTTTCCTATAGCCTGGACTTTTGTAATATGTATCACGAATGTATATGAAGCTCTCATTTGATGTTTATGCTACCAACTATCGTCTGACTTCAAACATCCAACTGCAAAGTATGCATCAATTCATGAATGTCAATACTCACCGTTGAATGGTTGTATATTGACATGTACATACTTTATATACGTACAAATCATGCCTATAGCTAGGAGTATAATAAGTGCATATAAAACATTATACGTAAGTTAAATCTATACATATATATATACACACACACACACACACATATATATA